AAGGAAGGAAGGAAGGAAGGAAGGAAGGAAGGAAGGAAGGAAGGAAGGAAGGAAGGAAGGAAGGAAGGAAGGAAGGAAGGGATAGAATTCCACACAGAGATGAACAGGTATATTGCTATACCTCTAAGTAGGCAAGCTTGCTTAATACTTTAAAAAATAGAAGTGAAATCTTATTATATAAGAACCTTAACACATATAATATAATTATAGCAAAAACATTTGAGAAACCCAAGTAAACGTCAATACCAGAGACAACAGAATACCTACAGCAAAATTAAATTAAATTATATAAAATAATTACACTGAAAGTATAATGAATACAACTCTTGTGTCTGAGTTTATGTTTTCTATAGAAATTGATCTTATTTTGTTTTCATCATATGTATGAAAACTTTAAGCCTTGCCAGATTGACTGTATGTCTCGTTCCCAACCAAATAAATCAAATATTATAAACACATAAGGAAACATAAGCTTCTTTCCTTGAGGTCTCCCAAACAAGGTACATCAACACAAAGACATATAATTTTGTAGTTTAACAACATGAAATGGGCAGGAATTGTCTGAAAATTTAGCAGGCATGTTACAATAAATTCTCCTTCCCCAGTATTTCTTTTAAAATGTGTCAAGGTGCAAAAAAGCAAAGAAAGCACAGCAGAAACCAGAAATAAAAAACATTCAGCTACAAGGATGATAACCTGCAAGTTGCTCTTGGTCCAGCCCTTTGTTTGCTCAGCAAGATATTTCATTTTAGTTCCTGTAGCAATTTTTAAAAAAACAGCATGTGAAGTCTCAACAGACCCTTTATACCTCAGAGCTTTCTGGCTCAACCATGTACATATCTACATTTTTGTTTCTTCTTTCAAAAACTACATTAAAGTTAGAAGAAAGAGTAGAAAGAAACCCTTTGGTCCTCAAAAGAGAGAGAGAGAGAGAGAGAGAGAGAGAGAGAGAGAGAGAGAGAGAGAGATAGCATTGTTTTGGAGGGCATTGAAATAACAACTAACAGAAAACAGTTGCACACGGTGTTTGTTCAATCAGGTTGATATATGTTCATGTTCATGCCTAATAGAATAGAGGTTCATTGCTTAGTTTCAGCAATGAACAAAGCTGCCTACAAGCCAGACAACAACAACAACAACAACAAAACAGCATATGTGTAGCAGCTTCCCCCAACCTGGATGGTTTTCAAATCTATTGGTAGGCTTGAATTCTAGGAAGTCTTTATGTGGTATGGTCATTGCAGCAATTCTTATAACTGAAGTTCATACTCCTGGAGGATGACAAACTTGAGAAAGCATTTCTGATCTGTGCTATAATCCAAATCACATTTGGTCTTTGAATCCAGATCTTTGCCCAACCCTAGTTTCCATTGCTGGCTGTGTGGTATTTGGATACCATGTTATACTTTTATACTATATTCACTTGTATTTTACCTGGCAGATGTACTTAACCCTCTCAACTTTCTAACAGGGTCAATTGCGCTCTTAGCAAAAACTGTAAATCATTCATTCATGGAGATTAGACATGACACATCACAGAGATGAAAGTAGATAAATTTGAGGTGAGATGGATCTTTCAGAGCTATATCTACCTAGCATTCAATTCAGCAATGGGATGAATTTTACTTCTGAAATACTAAGTACTTATACTTTATTTGTTTATTTCACACATTTGTAAATCTGCCCAACTCAACCAATGTAAAAAGTAACCATAATCAATTGTGATGATGATGATGATGATGATGATGATGATGATGATGATGATGACTCAAAATATAAAATGATGAACCAAATTGGATAATTAAAATAGCCTGAAGAAATTTATGGTATAGAAACCACAGAATCCACCCTTGCCATCCTCTTGGCTTCACAGGTATTATAGAAATGGTGGTATGGAGGACCCCAAATATCACTGTCCTCAATGCTAAAGTTTCTTTATTCAGCAACCTGTTATATTTATAGGGTTCTTGAAATATAGGCATTTGCAAGCTGAGGGTTCCCAGTTCAATTTTGCACCATATCTGAAGAGAATGGAATAGTGTAAAGGACATGGAATAACTTGCAAAGCCAAGCATTGCCCTCTCACAGAAAGAAATAGGTTATGATTTAAACTGCTATGCCCCCAACTCTTTTCAATTCATAGTGGTTTACCAGAAAAACCAAGGATGAAACATCCCTAGCACAAGATAACAATATAAAAAATAAAATATCCACCATAAGGCTTATAAAGGAATAAATGTACACCATAAACCAACTATTAAAATCAAAATATCAATATTATAATATTTCCAATATTATAGATATTGGATCATGATTAAATAATTATCAGCTGGGACACTCACATGATAATTAGACAAAAACACTGTAAAATGTACAGTTCCGAATTACAAATAAGGGGGCAGTCAGCCATCAAAGGACTTCTAGAGTAATTTGGTCTTTGCTGTTTTCTGGTAGGCTATCACAATGAGGCTAGTCTAATGCCTAAAGGAATCTGTCCCACAATGTGGGGATTATAACTGAGAAATACTGTTCCTTGACTTCAGTCCTCTTTGTCTTATGGACATGGTCACTAGACTGGGGAGGGCTCATAAGAACACCTAGAAAATTATCACCACTACCCTCCAGGAACTAATGTCTGAAGGATTTTGTTTATTCTTTTGGCTCTGTTTGAAAAGTATTAAAACAGGTAATTATAGAACATATTTTCAGGCAACCTATTATATATTACTACAAAGTTTGGCAGGGCTTTTTTAAAAAACTAAAGTATGAATGAAAGCAGAAGCAGGACAGAATGGGAAAAATATGGAAGAGAGTGGAAGAGAATGGAAATAGAGATCTATTTATTTCTGGTCAGGAAGAGAATTTTTAGGAATATTCAGTAACTTTCCTGGCTCAAACTGTTAATGCAAGGTTATATGCATTGCTTAGTTGATGAATCAATATTACCAAATTGCTATATGAACCAAATTAGAATCAAATAACCAGGGAATTCATATCTAAACATTATTAGATACATCTATTAGCAAATTGATTTTTAATTCTTTGTTATATCACTATTTCTTCATTGGACCAAGAGAAAGTGAGAGGGAGAAAAAACACCCTTGAGAACCCTTCTCTTAATGAGGAGCCAATCCTCAGATAATCCTGCAAAAGCCTCTCTACTGTTATTTGTAAGCTGCATAACAACCACAATGGTAACTTGGACAATTCAGCACAAAACATCAATTCAGATGGAATCTGTCATAGATCTCTTTGGTTTTGAATGTTATTATACTGAACTTAATTAGAGTAGGACTGTAAGTGGCATTTTACAGCTGACACAATGTGGAAGAGACCTTACAGTTTTCATATTACTGAAATTACTAAAACCACATGGCAAAGTGAAGACAGAACCTTGATAAGCAAATAGTAAGAGGAATATAAGTAAGTCATCTTGTTTCATAAGGCGGCAGGGATCAACGTGCCTTTTCTTTCAGGTTCTCAGTCACAGCTTATTTACAGAGTTTTCTTATTGTTATTTGAATTTATGGTA